CCTTTTCTCATAAGGATGGGAAGTAAAAGTGGATTTGACGACAGAAGAGACCCAGGAAGGGAAGATCCTCTTTATGTGTGTCTCCTTCGTGATTTAAGAGTAGGCAACTGCGGATATCTGGGCAGCGGTCGCTTCGTCTTTTAGGTGAATTAAAGTGGCCGTCACGTTTGCCACCTTATAATATAAAAAAAATAACTAAAAATCCAAGAGTGCCCTTTAGGTTAGTTAAGGAAAATGTCTTATATTTTATTAGTAACGAAGATGACAAAAAAGAACTATGGGTATATGATGTCACCAATGAGAGGCTGTGACTCGGGCTCGGGCGTGAGGTACCACTCGCGCCACTCCTTAGACATAGTCTCGAAGTTGTCGATGATGCCGTGAAAGCCGGCGATCTTGTCTAACTCCGTTATGTTATCCCAGCATTCATCCGGTATCCAGTCTAAAAAAATTGGCTAGGATTGTACGCTAGATTGCTAGATTGCTAGATAAAACCATATCACAGTTCTATTTTATATTTCCAGAATTAAATAAAGATTGAAGATTTGCCTAAGTGGATATTAAACTTTATGCGATATTGTAGTTTGTCTAAATACGATTGATTAGTTTGACATAGAATTTATTTGACAATTGTGTAGGGATGGTTCTGTAAAATCAGGCATGAAACTTATCGATTTCCGATTTTTATTGTTATAGAAGTTATCGATAGATTCATAGTTATTATTTATAAATTAAAAAAAAAACACTGTCTTCTCCAATTAATAATTACCTGCAGAACCATTACAAATAATGACAATAAATAAATATTTATTACTACTACAACCGTACGTAATCAAATTGTATTTCGCTATTATTGTCATCGGTAAATTCTCTACGCTATAATCAATACTAGAATTGTCCTCTAAATATGTTAATAAGAAAATAATAATTTTAGTAAAGTTCGATAAATTTTATTTAAACCGAATATCGATAATTCAAAATTGTTCGCTGCGTGTTTGTTTTGTCACTACGATACCTGTCTATTAAGTACGGCATTAGCCTTCATACAAATAGAATTTGATATTTCATATGCGTGATTTATCAAACTAATCTATCTTATTTAGCCAAAGTTTAAATACAGACTGGTAGGGTTGTCAGGTTGCTCAGAGCGGTCGAGGACGATGCCGCCCTTCAGCAGGTAGAGGTACTCGTTGATGTTGAGCTTGCCGGCCTGGAAGAGGATGCGCGACGCCATGTGGAACGACAGCAGCAGCTTGTGTCGCTCGAACAGCGCGCGGCACGTGTTCCTGCACATACCATCCTCTAGAACTAATCTAGATATACAAGAAGTAAACAGAAGTTCAATTTCGAGACATTCATAATCTACACTAATCTTATAAAGATAACTCAAAAACTACTGGGCCTATTTCAAAACTTCTTTCACCATTAAGAAGCTATGTTATCGTTGTTACATAGGCTATATTTTTTTAATAGTATAGGCGAAGTCGCGTGGAACAGCAAGTATAAAAATTTTTGACTTTGCCCTCTTGAAATTGAAGATAAAAAACATAGCCTATGTTACTCACTGATAACGTAACTTTTTAATGGTGAAAGAATTTAAGAAATTGTAATAATAATAAATAAATAAAACACTATTTACTGACCAAAAGAATTAAAAAAAAAACAGAACTTACAAAACATATTCCTATAATAAACATTAAAAAAAATCTTGGCCAAAAGGAGAAGGCTCAGCTGATCGGCCTCCAGCTTGTCACTAAAAGCCGCTCTGATTTTCAGCCTCCCATTGGCCCAGTAGTTTTTGAGTTATTTCAATACATACAAAAATACAAATCTTTCCTTTTTACATTATTATAGATTTAAAACCCTGAAAGTTTACTTATAAACAGCATATGTGTGGAACTCGTTGAGGTAGTTGATGCGGTCCTCCAGCTCGCTGGACTTCTGGCTGCGGTCGATGGAGTACATGAAGAGGTCGGTGTACGCGTCCAGAGAGAACTGGTACATGGGGTCGATGCGGGAGAGGTCGTTCAGCGCAAAGAACAGCACAGACGCGCGCACTGCCACTGGCACGTAACCCTAACACAAGCACTAACTGCTGTCTTCATCTATATCTGTCATACTAATATTATAAATGCGAAACTTTAGATGGATGGATGTTAGAGTTAGTAGCCTAAACTGCTGAACGGATCAGGATGAAATTTGGTATAGGTGTAGAGGATAATCTGGAAGAACACAGGATACTTTGGTTTTTTTTTTAATTCCACGCGGATGAAGACGCGGCGAATGCTAGTACTTAATATAATAAAGCGTAAACACTACTTTCTGGCGTAGAATATGATTAAGCTATATATTTTCACGCTATTAAACTTATTGGGGTAAATAAATTGGAAAAACCTTCATGTGGCGAAAAAGATTTGAAACTACATGACGACATCAAGGAAGCAGGTTTGCTGGTAATGGTAATTCTTATACAAAGTCAAAGACCTTCGTCGTCATTTGTGCATTTGAATATTGACATTTGCAATTGAGAAATTAACAAATATACAACTAGCTGTTCCCGTGCGGCTTCATCCGCACTAAATTATGAAAATTTTATTTCATTGTGAACATTTGTCAAATTATTAATAGCAAATGTCAAACTCACATGACATGACAAACCTTGGCAATTTTGTTTCCTTGCTGTTGGCAGCAACTTATGGCTTCTTTCCCACATTAAGACATGACAAACCTTGGCAATTTTGTTTCTTTGATATTGGCAGCAACTTATGGCTTCTTTCCCACATTAAGACATGACAAACCTTGGCAATCTTGTTTCCTTGATGTTGGCAGCAACTTATGGTCTCTTTCCCACATTAGGGATTTAATCAAAAATATTTACCCCCTAAGTTTAATGGCGTGAAAATATATAGCCTAAAGCGTGACGTAAATGTACGGCTTTTTATAAAAAAGAGAATTATACAAAAATATGGTGTAATTGCTGATATCTTAGACAACAAAGAAGTGTGTGTTTACGCTTTATTATAATAGTATAGATATAGATAGATAAATAAAATTTTTATAATTCCATGCGAATAAAGCTGCATGGGAAGTTTTAATATGATATGCGATATGTGTTTACTTCTCTTGCTGCATCTATCTCCTTCTCAGTGACCTGCGAGGTGATGAGTGCCTCCTTAACCTGCTGCGAGGTGC